GTGAGGTTGACTACGTTCAGGTGCAGCTTTCGGTGCAGGAGCAGGCGGCCGTCTCTGAGCTAACGGGGTGGGGAAGTAAACTCGCGATCGACAAGTGGCAGTCACATATTTTCTAACGCTTGTCGATGTGCTACCCGCTCGTGGCTGTTTGGACTGACATCATGGCGTGGGGCAAGCAGGCTCATGGACTTACCAGCATGCGCATGGAGTGAGTTTGACACCGTTCACTCGATCGGCTGCATGTAAAACCCCGCATGCATCGGGCGAGGCCAAACATCGGCCCATGTGAGTGGGCATGACAACCCCTGCTGTCTCTTACCCCCCCCCCCCCCCGAACCACCACCAGCTCAGTGCGCCTGCCTGAATGCCTTGGTGGTCGACGAGCGTGACGTTCGTCACAGTCTCTCAGAACGGGAACCGTGGCGGAAGTACCCGCTGGTCCCCATCCCGTGTTGTGCACGAGATGCAGCCGCAGTCCCACGTACGGGGACGGCACTGGTGTGTCCCCTGCCCGCACGAGACGTCATGTAACCCCCAACGGCGGGGTAAGACGGGTGACCCCTACCCCACCCCGAATGTCACGCCGCACGATCCCAGATCGCCCAGAATAAGGCTGGACACAAACGTCGCTGGCGCTTGCGCCTCTCCACGGCACTTACACGGAGAACCGCATGTGAATCCCCAGCGTTTGAGACTGCTCCCTGTTTGACCCACACCTCCGCTGGACTCTGTCACCAAAGGTGGCAAAGTCCATCGCGTATTACATGTGACCCTGCATGACCCCAGTGTGCCTCTCCCTCATGAGCATACCACCCGGTACAGCTTTGGGCCTGAGCGCCCTCTTTACGTTGAAAGTCAACAGGACGCCATAGTTAACAGCCGCAATGAGGTATTGGGAAGTATAAGACAACATCAAGTCGAATGAAGGGGAAGCAGCAAGCCGAGAACAAAAAGGGCAGCTGGTCAATCTGCACAAAAAATATGAAAATTTCAAACACAGTGCAGAATGCACCACGGCCAAGAACAGGCCTACCTTTTTATGATCATTAAAATCAATAGGTCATGAAGCCAAGCATGCCAATTCCGTTATGCCACTTAAGTCTTATTTTTAGATCAGACATAGCACAAAACCATGGCTAATGGATGCCAGCGGTTGAATGACTCAAATAAAGGGGGTTATCACGTATCATGTTACCCCGTTGTTATGACGTATAACGTTATCACTTATCACAACTATGGTCATTCTTATCCATGTGAATGCTAACTGATGCAGCCAAAATATACAAAACGTGATAGACAGAGATAACTATATGAGATGAAGCGTCAATGCCGCCCAGAGGTTACGTCTTCATTCATAAATTCAGCGGCAAAGATGCTTGGAAGTGAATCAGATTTCCATTGGCCTTTTTTGCTGGACTTGGATGTCGCGTACCAAAAACAGTTACACCATCAAACTACAGCAACATGAATGCCGTCGGAAGTTGAGTGATTCCGAACAAAACCGATAAAGCGCTAACTTCGTCTGCGTGAGCGGAAGATGTTGAAGAAGCGCTGTCCGCGTGTTCCGCTGTTTTGTGACCAGGTCCGTGCGGCACGTTTGGTGACATCACGCGTCGGATGCTGTTCTGTACAGTGAGCAACCTCGCCGTTGTATGGTACACCCCCGGCGTGTCCTCCCCCCCCCCTCCCCCACAGATGGCGGGCAGCTGAGCCAGGTCGCCTTGTGTCGTGGAGCACCCGAGCTGTATGGAGCCTGATGTGGACTGCGAGCTGATTCGTCCCGCACTGCGCTGACATCCGGGAGCACGATCAGCTCGAGATCAGTCTGACCCCGTGCTGACCTGACCTCCAGGAGGGTGAGAGGGTTAGCAAGCTGCTCGGCGTCGACGGCCCGGAGCTGTACAAGAACCTGCTGAAGCCGAGGATCAAGGTCGGCAACGAGTTCGTCAACCAGGGTCGCAACAAGGACCAGGTGGGTCGTGACGCTGGTAACAAGGACCAGGTGAGTCGTGAAGCCGCTTCGGTGAGGCCGACCGGCCCTCCAGGCGCGGCTAAACACACACGAATGATGGCCAAATCGGACGTGAACATGATGTAACCCTGGTTGGCAATGCTTGCCGATATTGCAGGTGTACAAAACATAGATCGATTCTATTGGCCAGTGTTATCAGAAAGAGCTCTTTGCAGCAATATCGCACTTAAAAACATGAACCGTTCCGTCGCGAAGACCAGGTTAAGAATCAACGAGAAAGAAAGATCTGCTGAAGGTTACGGTCCTGGTGGCTTTGTTTTAAAAACACTTATTGGTTGATATCGGGCAGATGTCTGCTGCCCAACCAAACGGCATGGGTTTCATGCCTGTCACACAACCAAAAGGTGTGAATATAACGAGCCGGTTAACGTGGCCGACAGTTAGAATCCAGCTCCCCGGTCACACTGCTCCTAAGGTTATACCTGCATATGGATCAACTCTCTCCGACCGTTTCAGGTCTACTACTCGGTGGGCGCGCTGGCCAAGAATATGTACGATCGCCTCTTCAAGTGGTTGGTGAAGAAGGTGAACGTCACGCTGGACACCAAGCAGAAGAGAGCCTCCTTCATCGGCGTGCTCGACATCTTTGGATTCGAGATCTTTGATGTACGTGCAGTTGCGTGGGGCCGCTGAGGTTGTGTATTTGAGGATGCGGAACTGATCATGAGGATAATTGAGCCCGAGAAGAAATATGAACTAAGAAGTGGGATATCATGGGCATTCCAGCCAGTGTAACAAAGATGCGTATACTTTGTCTGCTGCCTACCAGCATGCTTGGCTACATCATAAGCACATTAGCGTCTGGGTCACATCACGTCAGAAGCGTGTAAGCGTCCGGGTCACATCACGTCAAAAACATATCAGCGTCTGGGACATCACGTCAAAAACATATCAGCGTCTGGGTCACATCACGTCAGAAGCATGTAAGCTTCCGGGTCACATCACGTCAGAAGCATGTAAGCGTCTGGGTCACATCACGTCAAAAACATATCAGCGTCTGGGTCACATCACGTCAGAAGCATGTAAGCTTCCGGGTCACATCACGTCAGAAGCATGTAAGCGTCTGGGTCACATCACGTCAGAAGCATGTAAGCGTCTGGGTCACATCACGTCAAAAACAGCGTCTGGGTCACATCACGTCAGAAGCATGTAAGCTTCCGGGTCACATCACGTCAGAAGCATGTAAGCTTCCGGGTCACATCACGTCAGAAGCATGTAAGCGTCTGGGTCACATCACGTCAGAAACATGTAAGCGTCTGGGTGACATCACGTCAGAAGCATGTAAGCGTCCAGGTCACATTACGTCACAAACATATCAGCGTCTGGGTCTCATCACGTCAGAAAAATATTAGCTTACATGCATATACCACCAGAGCCCGACTGTCGGCTTAGGAAACTGAGCTCAACGGAAGTCTTTTGCAAAAATAGCTTGGATTCATTCCAGGTGTTTTTCTTCTTAAAAGAAACGCAAGCAAACAAAGCTGGATTATCTGAACTGTTATAGAGAGCTCAGAGACGTGGCCATTGTGAATGTCTAGCCAGCACATGCCGTTTTCCAGCACATGCCCTGCCCTGTTTCAGTTCAACAGCTTTGAGCAGATGTGCATCAACTTCACCAACGAGAAGCTGCAGCAGTTCTTCAACCACCCATGTTCGTGCTGGAGCAGGAGGAGTACAAGCGAGAGGAAATTAACTGGGTGTTCATGGACTTCGGCATGGACTTGCAGGCGTGCATCGACCTCATGGAGAAGGTAACACCTGATGGTGAAAGCCGAGGAGACGGACGCATAGCTGTCATACTTGTGCCATACTCTTGTGCCACTGAACATCATAAATGCGAGTTGGCTGGTGATTAAAGTAGGCTCGACCCAAGAAGCTTTTGAAGGGGATCGCACCATGTTGAGTGATTGATTTCTGAAGAAAAAAGATACATGAAATACATCCCGTGGGATCTTTTTTAATAGAGCTTATTTCTCACTGGTGAGCTTAACTCATACATGCGTGTTTGAAATCATTTCACGAAGCGTTTTTGCTATGTCACAATCATCGCTCACGGTACTCGATCCATGTTAGACCCACCCACTCCCTCAATAAGTCAGCGCATACAATTATCGCCATGCAACTTTTGCTGACCCCGTTCTCCCCGGTGCAGCACTGGTGACCTGCTCTGACCCTTCCGTCCCCGTACAGTGCACGTGACCCGCGCTGACCTGTCCTCCGCCGCGCAGCCAATGGGAGTGCTCTCCATTCTCGAGGAAGAGAGCATGTTCCCGAAGGCCTCCGACAAGACATTCGAGGAGAAGCTGAAGACCAACCACCTGGGCAAGTGCCCGCTGTTCGTGAAGCCCAAGCCGCCCAAGCCGGGGCAGACCGAGTCTCACTTCGCCATCGTCCACTATGCCGGCACGGTGAGAGAGAGGGAGAGAGAGAGGGAGGGAGAGAGAGAGAAAGAGAGAGAGAGAGAGAGAGAGAGAGGGAGAGAGAGCGAGAGAGAAGGGAGAGAGGAAGGGCGAGAGAGAGAGAGAGAGAGAGAGAGAGAGAGAGAGAGAGAAAGAGAGAGAGAGAGAGAGAGAGAGAGAGAGAGAAGAGGGAGAGAGGGAGAGAGGGAGGAGGCCATGCAGACATGTGTTGTATAAGGTACGTGCACACACACAAACAGTCTTCAACTTTTGACTTATTGTAATATTTGGGGCAGCGCAGAGTTGCTGTCACGTGCCTATAGATAGCAGCAACAATTGATCTGCTTACCGATATAAAACAGTGCATGCCTTGGTATATGAGCAGCAATAGCGTATTTAGGACAACCTGAGAACATGGGCAAGTTCAGAGTAAAAGGGAAAACCTCCCCTGGCTTCTAAAGTGTGATAACTTGTGGCGCTGACACCTCCAGTCTGCCATCCTTGCCCCTGGACCCTCGCTTACTAAGAAGATAGTTTACATTTTCATGCCACAACTAATAAAACATGCCAGTTAGGTGGTTCACCTTGTGTGGTGTCAATTCGACCAATGTCAACACCCGAAATAGTGTGGGTTGAGCCATTTCCTGAATCGTTGTATTTCAGAGGCGTTGTCGATTCCCTTCCAATTCCGTCGCAAGCTACGCGAAAGCAGTTTATGAACTTACAACATTTGATTCATGTAAGCACCCAACAGTGCCGAATCCTAATCCAATTCAGGACAAAAGGGAATGGGTTTCGGAAGCAGGGTCAACCCAGCTGTGGTCAAGCTCAGGTGTGACAACAGCTTGACACCCCACTCAAAACTGGGCCCACTCCACATCTGGCCAGCCTGCGACATTGGCACCGACGCCACCCGCAGGTCAACTACACCTGACTGGCTGGCTGGAAAAGAACAAGGACCCGCTGAACGCACCGTGGTGGACCAGTTCAAGAGGGGGCAAGAACAACCTGCTGGTGGACCTCTTCGCCGACCATCCGGGCCAGTCAGGCCCCAAGGAAGAGGCGAGCGCCGGTGGCAAGGGTGAGAGCTATCACCCGTTCAGGTGTCGCCCCCAGTCGCAGACCGTTATTTCAGATCACTGTTCATGTAGTGAATTACCAGAAAAAGTGTGATGATGTCAGAGCGTATGATGCTGCGGAGTGAGTTCTCATACACTCACAGTTCTTCGGCTCATGTGTACTTTTCGGTGATAAACTTGAGTTTTAGCTGTCGTGATAGTCAAGAGCCGTTCTATGCTGTAATTGACAACCTTACAATTCACTGAGTTACAGTGAGCTGTTGAGCAACAACTCAGCGAGCCTACAGTGAGGAAATGCACGGTCTCTTCCGTGGTCTCAACCGTGTAGGGTTGTCCAGCTGCTCTCGGCACACAACTGACGCGCTGCCTCTGTCGCCGCAGGAGCCAAACGCACGAAGGGCTCGGCATTCCAGACTGTCTCGGCCATGTACAGGGTAAATATTCAGCGGCGCCGGCCGGTGCTACCCTTCAGTGCACACATGAAGTCCCCGCTGATAGCGCCCTGCTGCGTTGCATTCTCTCATCTTTTATATACCGTGGTTCTCTATATTTAGGGATCTACGTTTCTGGAGCCATGGCCACGTAGATATGGAGGTGTACCTTGAGACATAAGTATAGGACTGTTTTTGCAGATTCGAAGTGTTACCGAATTTCCTGTTACTATGGTAATTAGCATGAGTGCACTTACGGCGAGGCAAAGATGGTTCATTGTCATTGGAAACGTCGAATATCAACAACATTTAGAGATGAGTTGACACTTTTCAACAGTCAGTACAGTTCTAAACTTCAGATAAGTTTGAAACTAAAACACCGGCTGTTTCCATTGACGTCGACTGATGAGGTCATAAACTGGCACTGGCCAGAGTGCAATGTGGAAAGTTTCGATGACCAATTACATCACATATTTCAACCCATGCCATCCGCGAGAAGTCCCCACCCGCTGCAGCACTTTCACCTGACAAGCTCTCCACAGCTCCATCTGACGCCACCTTCTATCCACCATTAGGTGGCGACACACCTGGTGCAACGGCTTCGTGAAACCCCCACTTTGCTCGTCAATATGTTCCCAATGCGCTGAAGACACACGCAGGTATCGCTTGTCCCTCCACTCGACATGCAACCGGTGCCCCGTATACGACCTGCGTGCAGTCCGAGTTTTCCCGATGCGGCGAAAACGCGTCCAGCTGTTGCTCGCCCTTCTCCGATTGTGGTGACCCTGCATCGACATGCAGTTTGTGGATGCGTCCGACATCTTCCTGACGTGCGGAGCACGCACGCAGATTTTGCTCGAGCCCGGTGCCCGTATATGCCGTCGTCTTGCTCGTTGTGCCCCCGCTACCCGTGAACTCCCTTCTTTGTGCATCAGCTCTCTTCGACAGCGTCACCGCCGCTGCCTGGATGGACCCGACGTTTCTTGTTACCCCACTCGCATGGAGCCCCGCCCCCACCGGTGACCGATGGCCAGCGTGATGAGCTCCCCGTAGATGTGCCCGGATCTGACGTGTGTACCACCTCTCAAACCCGTCACCCTGGTGACCCCCCCCCCCCATTCCCCCCACCCGAGGATACGCCTCTACTGCGGGCCCAGGTGGAAGCTTCCAAACTTGTGCGTGGTCTCATGTTCGAGACTGATCACTAAAAAGTTGTGCAGCCAAGCTTTTGGGGCCACTTTGGAGGTGTAAGCTCCGTCATCCCCCCCCCCTCGAATGTCTTCGGTAGCTGCTCGTGATGAAAGCCTCGCCCGCCTGCCCTTCCCCCACCCAAGTGCATGCTGTGGTGCCGCGGTACCTCCTGGAATGCCCCCCCCCCCCCCCTGCAGTGAAGCGCCACGGACGCCGGCCGTCTCTAGCGTTCCCGCTGCCGTGTTCTAGGAGCAGCTGAACGGCCTCATGGCCACCCTGCACGCCACCTCCCCGCATTTCATCCGCTGTATCATCCCGAACGAGACCAAGTCGGCGGGTAAGCGGTCCTCCCCTCACAGCGTGTCGCTCGCTCGCCTCAGGCGGTCGGTCCGGGGGATCGGTCCGGAGGCTGTGCCCGGGGATCCCCACCCGACTCGGCAGACCGCCGGTCTGAGACGTGTGCCTTCCCCTCCCCCCCCCCCCCCCCCTCCCGCTCCGCCGGCCGGCGGGAGTCGTGTGTCCCCGCCTCTCCCCTCTCTCCCGCAGTTAAGGCCCTCTTGCGTGCGTGTGTATTGCCGGGCCTTTGCGGCTGCGGAGCATTTGGCATGGCCGTTGGCCCGGCTGCCTGCCTCGCCCCGTGTGAGCCGCCCGAACCAGGGCGAGGCCTCCTGGCGCCCGACGGCTGCGCAGCGCGCCGCAATCCAGGCTGTGCTGGAGCTGCGGATGATCAATGGGGCGTGCTATCTGTTTCTGCCTGCGCCGGAATACCACTCGGTTCCAGCTGCCTGCCGTGCCTTCCGCTGAGGCTCCCCTGCGCTGAGAGCTGTTGGCTTCCTTGCATTGCCCAGTTTGGCACGGGCCTGACCCCTGACCCGGTTGGTCGGCGTGCCGTGTGAACCTCCAGTCGGCGGAGGTGTGGCGATCTCCGCAACCTCGACCCTTCAGCTTGCACTGACGCGTAATCTGGCTTCTCCCTCCAACAAGCGGGAGAGCCCAGGAACGCATTCAGACCCACGACCAGGGTCTGCTTTCAGACCCGCAACGCAGGAGTGTCCCCGACTGCCGGTTTGCTTCTCCTGTGTGCCTCGCCTGGCTCCACCATGCTGCAAGCCCTCCGACAGCCCGTGTGTTTTGGGTGTTCGCCCCACGCCGCCCTGGCATACGGGGTACCCACGAAGGCCTTGCTGTTTCGCTTGCGAGTGCCCTGCACAGCTCCGGCAGAGGAAGTGCCGGACACCCGCCTGCCTGCCGAGTGCCCTTGCCTGCTGAGCACTCCTGCCTGCGGCACCTGAGTTGATCTGGTGTGCCCCTAACGCCCACCCTCGACCTCAGGAGCAACTGAATAACCTGATGGTGACTCTGCGGGCCACGTCTCCCAACTTTATCCGTTGCATCATCCCTAACGAGACCAAATCTCCCGGTAAGAGAGCTCAAAGAGCTTCTTGTCTGGAGAGCTCGCAGATCCGCGTGCCTGGAGAAGCGCAGCCGGTCAGCATGGTTCGCATGTCCTCACACGTTTGGCCTGACTGCTAACTCCGCGGATAAATTAGCAGATGCTAGCAAACAAAAGTCCGCCCTTTCGCCGTGATTTGACTGGGGTTTAGTCATAAATATCAACGCTTGTAGGCTCCAGCTGTCTTTTCATAGCAAGCAGTGCTTCTACATAGTCAAATTAAAACATGTGAGCTTAACATTTAAAATTGACGGCTGTCTTTCGCTGTGCTCAAGATTCGCTCAAGCAACTCCCTTTGAAAGGCAATTAAACCAATGCGGACAACGGTAAGTTAATTCATATTCACTGACGAATCTCAGGAACACTGACTCAAGATAAATGTCCTCACTCCCATGCTTTCGCCAATTGTTCATAAGGCGCTGCGTCATGGCGGCTGTCAACATTAGAACCTTGTGTGCTTCGCATGAACATACATTCATTCCGAATGAATCAACTTCAGTAAGTTAGATCGCGTTTCCAGCCCGTGAAGTGCAAATGTGTGAGCACCACTGGGTTGCGCACGCTGCCAAAGTAGCTAAGCTTACCGCCGCCGCCGCCAGGTGTCATCGACTCGCACCTGGTGATGCACCAACTGACGTGTAACGGCGTGCTGGAGGGTATCCGTATCTGCCGCAAGGGATTCCCCAACAGGCTGGTGTACCACGACTTCCGCCACCGGTGAGCATATCAAAAGCTTATATATATATATATATATATATATATATATATATATATATATATATATATATAATAAATCAACGGGCGATAAAGGCTCCCTAAAAGCTAATGTGAGATCCGCTATTTTTCAGAGAATTGTCCACGTCAGCGTCGATTTACTCATCTACACATATGAAATTGTTTCCACCATGATATCGAGCGTAACGCACAGCTTCTGGAGCACTGACCGATTCAGAAGCCCGCAAAATCACGGCATAGGATGTTCTTTTCCGTTCTGTTGAGCTCTCCGAACCTCGCAGACTTAACCACGCTTTCAGTCACGAACTTGCTCTCAGTCACCAGCTTTCAAGTGCGGAACTTACCAAGATGACTACACAATGATTTTCTAGCTACGCAGGGATAGTTGATCGAAACCTGATTAGCTAAATAAATGCACTCTTTTGCGAACCGACACTTTTGAAGGTGCCGACTCGACTCATCAAAGGTACCGACTCGACTCGTCAAAGATGCTGGCTTGATATCAAAGGTGTCGTCACGACTCATCCATGCGTGGGCTGCTGGTCGCTGGGGGCCGTCACTGTAGCAGCGCACTGACTCCCTCCCGCCCGCGCGTGAGCCGCTCCCCGCCCGGGGCCCTGTAGCAGCGCACTGACTCCCTCCCGCCCGCGCGTGAGCCGCTCCCCGCCCGGGGCCCGCCCCTGTAGCAGAGCACTGACTCCCGCTTGTCTACATGCAGCTGCCCCCCCCCCCCCCCCATCCAATGGCCGCCACTGCAGCAGCGCACTGACTCCCTCTCGCCCCTCCGAAAGCTACGTCATCCTGGCGCCGCAGGAGATGAACAAGGTCAAGGATGACCGGGACGCCTGTGCGACGTGCCTCAAAGTGGTGGAGCTGGACGAGGATAAGTTCCGCCTGGGTCTCACCAAGGTACCTCGCCCCCCGCCCCGCCCCGCCCGCCCGCACCCGGCATGGCCACCCGTGGCTCCAGGACAAGGAGGCGTCAACCTGCATCCGTGTCTGCCCTGTGTCCAGGAACCGCCTCGTCACAGAGCGGTGGTAGCAGATAAGCGTGCAAGCATGCGAGTGGAGAGGTTCCAGGGAGGAGCCTCTCGCTCTGCATCCACAAGGGACTGAGCATGTCTTTTCCAGGACGACGCTGGGAGCAGCGCAACCGCCGACGGGACGAGAACGTTTCCCGGGAATGCTGTAGACCCCCAGCGTGTCGTCTGCGTGCCCCCGACCCCGTGTGACCCCGACCCGCAGAGTACCTGCGCCCTGCACCCAGCAGCAACCGCACCCCACACTTGACAACACCCGCTCCCCACACCCGATAGCACCCCATCAATCGTCCGTCGGCGTTGGCGAATGTCTCCTCGTGATCTGCGCCAACAACGGCACAGACTAATCGGAGCAGACTCGACGTAACCCGTCAACAGACCTCCAGACCTCCGCAACTCGGCCTTGCCCACATGGGTGGCCATGCACGATGAAGAGGCTGGTGCGAGGTTGACGCGTTACGCGGAGCTACTCCTTCCCCTTCGGGTTCAGTGTGATGAACGCAGCGAGCCTGACCGGCATGATCTCCCGCTTAGTTACGTTATCCTGGCTGTGGATGAGATGAAGCCGTACAAGGAGGACCGCGACGCCACGCAAAAGTGTCTGGAAGTGCTGGAGCTGGACCAGGACAAGTTCAGAATGGGGCTCACCAAGGCATGTCTGGAATGTCAGCTAACAGCGGGTGACGGCCGCATGCATGCTGCTGTCTCTAACCGGACACTGCGGCGACGGCTCGATGTCAGCTCACTCGCTTTGCTCGAAATAAGAATGTCTAGTGCAGGTAAATGATAAGTCACAATCCTAGGGAAAATAGCCGGCGGTGCCATGAAAGCTTTTGCTCAGCTTATTCTGCTTTTGCCAATCGCGATGCGTATGCATCTGAGACTTGGGTAACAAGCTGTATAGTCTAGAGGCATAATCAAATATCATGTTTATCGCCTGGATATTTGTGTTTTGCGGCGTTGACATTTGCGTAAAGGTATAATTTGCGTAAAGGTATAGTTAAAACTACGGATCCCTTTGCCGTCTCTTTCCATCCACGACTTGTGATTTGCTTCATGAACAAAGTGTTTGGACTGCCGGGTATTGTTGGCGTTTTATGACCGGCGATGTGAACATAAAGCATGAAATGTCGCGAAGGAATCATGTTACCGGTCCCCATCCAAATCTTCAAGCTTGTTTCATGAAAAGTAATTGAGTCCATCGCCATTTCAGCTTCTTTTTTACTTCTAGCAGCCTTTTGGCTCTCCATGGTAGGCACGATGTGCAAGGTACAGTGCTCAGTTCTTGTAAAACACCACTCAGACACAATCGCAGGTCTCCAAAGACGGCGAAAGAAATAAAGCAGAAGACCAGACACGCAATGCAAGAAACGCACGTTAGCATTGTTATGTTTGTAACTGATGAGGATGGCGACAATGACAGCATGGCGACTGCGAACAGGTCTTCTTCCGCGCTGGTGTTCTGGGAGACCTGGAAGAGCTGCGCGATGACAAGCTCAACCAGATCTTCTCCTGGATGCAAGCCTGCATCCGCGGATACAGGTCGCGGAAGGAGTACGAGAAGCTCAAGGAACAGCGGTAAGTGGCAGATACCCCTCCATCCTACAAATTGTTTTTGCTCATCCATATTGTCATCCTCTCCCATGAGGCGCAATGGCCATTTTTGTGCCGCTTTGCTGCAGAATTCACCGTGTTTATTTCCATGACATGTTCATTTTCATGACGCTGGGATACGCAGCGTTGGCGAAGCAGGCTTTTGGCGCCTGGCGACACAGTCTGACTGGCATCGCTTATCATGTTCTCAGCCTGCCCCCCCTCGCCGCGACCCGTGACCTCGGGTCAGGTGCCAATGTTGGAGTTGTGACCCCGACCCCATCCCCGACCCTGACCCTGACCTTCCACGCCCGCAGGGCCATGCTGCTGGTGGTACAGCGAGCTATCCGCAAGTACATGAAGCTCAACGGCTGGGCCTGGTTCCGTCTCTGGATCCGCGTCCGCCCCATGCTCTACCAGACCCGCATCGAGGACGAGCTTAAGGTCAGTCACGTAGCAGGTCACGGATAGGTCACCTGACACGACAGGCGGTGTCCAGGCTGGTTGCATGGCCGCTGTGGCGGTGTTCAGTTAGGTCACGTGACTGATGCAGGCTTCACTGAACCTGCGTCGAGGTCAAGGTCAAACACGTGGGAGGTCAGGCACGGGTCAATGTCAGACAGCTGACCGACACCCGCTCCACCGAATCAGACCGGCAATGACGTGGCTTAGCTTAACTTTCCGGTCCGTTCGGCTGAGGGCCAATGCACCGCGGTTAGGCCCGCTGCAGCGAGCGTTCGCCATTCCAATTGTTTCAAAAGCCTGGTCCCCTCACATTCCGATTAATCCCGTCGTCTGTACACAGTGCAAACGGGCTTGCGTTGTTTACAATACAGCAGGACTTAACACAATAAAAAGGTACTACCCGGAGTCTGTGTTAGAGGTCATCCTATCGTGGCATCATCCTCCTTCTTACCTTGCTTCCCCCTCTTTCCTAGGCCCGAAATGGTCCTTACACGCCAGGTACGGTTTGAATTAAGTTCCTCGCAATTGGGGGAAGCTCAGTGGTAATTTTTTCTTAGTGGATTGGACCGGATTGAACCAGGAAGTCTAAATAAGCACGGATTAAGAATCCACTGGACCCAAATCCCGGGCCGGAACAAATTGTTTGGAGCGTGCTGAGTGACCCAATATCGATTTAAATTGTTAGTTTGTGGCAACCATGATATATCTGGCTTACTGTGATAGAGCGGGTCAAAAAGTGATAAGCATTTTGCAATAGAATATGCGATGATGATAAGTGATATAGATTACGCAACAGACCATGCTTGCAAAGATAAAGTGAACTGGATGGTGTTGGAAAAATTGTGATAGCGTTGCATCGGCTGTTGAATTGCATCTAAAGTGGCTGGATTTCATTTCATCTTCAGAATTCCACCCACGAACAGCCCCGGCTGTGCTCATAACCACGGAAAACCATCGAACAGTGAGAGGCGGATAAGGGTCATCCGATTTATTCCTTTCATTCTATGCACCATAACCAACGCTGCATTTTCTAACAAGCCGCTCAGAACGCTGCCGTTCTGACGCCTATAGCTGTTATGAAATGCAGTCGAGTCTGGGGCGAACTTCGCTCATCATCCGCGTACCTGGGTTTACCGCCGCGTATCACGCCGTAAGCCTATGCGGCTGCGGCAGACGTAGGCTCAGGGTGTACCGGAGCCCCACAGGTCTCAGTCTGGCCCAGACACTATAACACATTCCCGAGTAAGGCAGCCTTCCAGCACCACGACATGCTCCCGCCAGCAATGCAGTCAGCATTGTTAACTGTGGGATGGATTCTGGTACCTGTGTCCAGTGCAAATGTACCTCGAAATCAAGCTGGGCGCTGCGTTGTCCCAGCAGTCTCCAACTGTAACGATTTTAGTACCGCTAGAGATAACGGTAGCGGTTACCAGATCTGGTCAAACAAACGCAAAATCGAGCCTGAAGCACTTTGGAGCGAAAGACACTCAACTGGAACTGGACGCTTATGAACATTTTAGCCTCTAGCTGCATAAATATGGTTTATATGCACAAGGAACTAACAAATTAAATAGATTTGCAATACCCAGAGCCTGTAGTCCATCACGCTACCTGCCCCGGCGCTGTTCTATTCCAGGTGTGCAAATATTGTTGCTGCATCAGGTGGATAACCAGACAAAGCAACGGAAAGATGTATCTGGACTCTCGCCAGCTTTTCAGTGGCTGCCGCCCTAGACGCTAGCTGAAGCCAAACTGTGCGGCCGCGTTTTGAACGGGTGGATACTGAAGAAATGGCTTAATTCGGGGCGAGCATCTGTGGTAAAATGGACATGAAATGTTACATATTTATGACATTGTTGCGGAAATCGATAGTTGTGAAAGAGCGTCAGTTAACTTTCCCATCTTAGTATTTAAAACCAGCGGCACGCAGTCGCTAGCCTCAGGCGTTCTGACGCATCACTTCGAATGTTATTTGCCATGCTGTTTAGATGCGCTGTTCGTAAACAGGAAGTTCAGAACTCATCGATGGACTACGGGTTTGGCATAAACAGGATTGAGCTGAACCCTTAAGCTCAATCTTGCAGAGTCCGTAACGATGTTGCTTCAGAGGTAATGAGGTTCAAACCAAACAAGAGCTCAACTTTTGTGATTTATCCTTTTCGTTAAACACACCTGATCATGCAGAGTAGCATGGCTGCCTGCCCTGCCGATATTTTTCGTCGGGCATCGGACCGTACGAAGCGAGCGTGACGACCGATGTTTTTTTAACCGAAGGTATCTCTCCCGTTGATTTACCAAACTGGCGTGATTGATAACGTATAAACATGGCGGTTCCAAAACCAGCCGCGGGCAGAGCCACCTGTCGCCTGAGTTCCGAACTACGCCGGCGGATAGGCTGGTGGGGCTCAGAGCTGTCTTGGAGCCCGGCAAAGTCAGCGGCAGCTCTCAAACACCGTGCGAGGGAAGCTTGCGGAGTTTTAGTGATCCTCAGCGACATGGATTACTGTGTTGGAGAGTTCGAAGAGAGCGTTGAAGATGCGGTGGCTAGATATGAAGAATGGCGAGCTGGAATCGAAGCCCGAGTGCAGGTAATAGGGTTCACATCAACGACAGCAGTCTTAGACAAGTGGAAAGTTCAAAACAGCCAAAAGGTTGATGCGAATTGCTAGTCTGTTCCTCGCCAAATGCTTCAGATGCGGGCACGAATGGACAGTTCTGAAGCAACTGGACGTGACAAAACCGCTGAAACGAGCTTCTGTCAATCACCAAACGTCGCATCCGCAACAATTTCATGAATAGTTGGTGCTGCCGTAGCTACACTGCATTCTCCACCAATGGATGCAGGCGTTTTTAGCGATGTAACCTGGATGCAAATAACTTAATGATTTATCTCATTCCTCACACACAGATGAAACGTGAGAGGTTTATTGCGTAACCATTTTTCGTCGTGTTCCACCAGTCCTCTTTTCCTTGGATCTGCGACCACATTCGTGGTCTCAGGGCTTCACTACCGCTTCACTGTCGCGCCTCCTGCCCATCGCTTCAGCCATTCTTCTGTATGGCCATTGGCGCCGTCCACGCACCGCCTGCTTCCTCCAGTTCGTGTGGCTGTCTCCCCTCCCCCATTTCTTGTCTCGCTGTTGTGCTGGTGCCGATGCCACCCTTCTCCTGGCGATGCCGCCTCCGCACCTGCTGACTGTGCCCATGTCTGCCACCATGCTGCCGCTGCATGCCTGCCCTGCTGACGACGCCCGCATCTCCCGTCCCTCTGTCGTCGCCCCCCCCCCCTCCCCCCCCCCCCAACACGTCTCGCTATAGCTAACGCCGACCATGTCCCCGACAGAGGCTGAAGGAGGAGGCTGAGGCGGCGGAGGCGGCACTGGAACTTGAGCTGAAGCAGCGCAAGGAGTCAGAGGAGGCCAACATCAAGCTGCTGAAGGAGAAGAACGAGTTGCTCTCGCGGCTGGAGTCCGAGCGGGGCGAGATGGGCGACGAGCTGGCCAAGCAGCAGAAGCTGGCGGCGCAGAAGGCCGACCTCGAGAGCCAGCTGACTGTGAGTAGTGGCGAGGGTCAGGGAGAGGATTGGGGAAAAGGGGGAAGGGCGTAGAGGGCGAGAGTCGGAGGGAAGGGTAGGGTAAGGCGAGAGTCGGAGGGGAGGACAGGATAGGGTGGGAGTCGGAGGAGAGGGCAAGGTAGGGCGAGAGTCGAAGGAGAGAGCAGTACAGGGCGAGGGCTGGTAACGTGGGCTGAGTGGGGCGAGTAGATGTCATTGCTGCAGAGAGCCCGAAGTTGTGCAGTTGCTCCTGCTCTTCTTGAGAGAGGTTGTCATTGCTGCTTTGAATTTAGTTTGAGAACCCTTGTGGAGATTCCAATTAGAGCTGATCTTGGAAGAACGCGCTCGAGGTTGAGACAGAAGACTTTTCTGTCCTGCTTGCACACAGGCGCACTGATTCATGAAGCTTTGAAGGAACTCTTGTTGTCCGAATTTTTGACTGAATGCGGGGATTTTATTCCAACAATATTATTTACTGTCGCTAACTGGAAACGGACGTCTGCGTTCTCGCACACCATGAGATCGTAAAACGATTAATGTGCTATCTATAGAAGCGACCTTCCCCTTTACAACCCTATCAAACCACCGCACTGACGCCTGGCAGGCTGTGTATAAACCGACTGCGGTGTGATCAAACTGAGTCATTGGCAGAATTCTCGGAACCCGAATTGACTCTGTTTTGAAAATCCTGCGTTCCAGACCCCTGCCGCGCAGTTTCACCTTCGGTCATTTATTTCCGTTGGTGGGGGCTGATGCCGACAAGCACCACAAGCCGAGCCGTTACGATTACGGCTTGGCTTGTTTCCGGACGTCGCGATAACACACGCATGATTCTGCTCTGGTCTCTAGAATGTGATGATCCGAGTCGATGTTGCTCTGCATCAGGCTTCCTCTGCTCTGCTCTGCATCAGGCTTCCTATTTGGTGCATTACGTAGTTGGGGTCGTTGTTATATTTTCTATATTCATTTTCGGGCAATATTTCGGGCAAGTGAAGAACATGAATCTGCGACATGCAGGTGTTACCTTATTCATGCATTCATTTGACCGCGTTCTAGGGGCAGCGAAATTTGTAACGGCTTCTCAACGTCTTTGATGGTTGAGATCTGATGACATGTTGCCGAAGAAGTCCGGAGAACGTTTTTGATGAGCTTAGCTTTGTTTGACGTCGTCTACGTTGCTACGTTACGTTGTCTTCGACGTGCTACGCTGATTTTAAGATGTGGACTCCTTCGTTGGTTCGATTATAACCATATGACGCATTTTGCTGCAACAACTGTGATTGTCTCTCCCGCTGTCTTTAAGAGCAGAACAGCGGACTTCCATGTTCGCATATGACGCCCGTTGACCAGCGATTGACGGCTGCTGGCCGCCGGTTGACGGCTGCTGGCCGCCGGTTGATGAGTGTCGGCCGCCGGTTGATGAGTGTCGGCCGCCGGCTGACGGCTGCTGGCCGCCGGTTGACGGCTGCTGGCCGCCGGTTGATGAGTGTCGGCCGCCGGTTGACGCTTGCTGGCATCTTGTGACCTCAGGATGCCCAGGATCGTCTGTCGGAGGAGGAGGAGGCGCGTCAGAAGCTGTCGCAGGAGAAGCGCAAGATGGAGCAGGACCTGAGCAGCTTCAAGAAGGACCTGGACGAGGTCCAGGCCACCATGAAGAAGCTGGAAGCCGACAAGACGGCACGCGACCACAAGATCCGCACCCTCAACGACGAGATCTCGCAGCAGGACGAGCTCATCAACAAGCTGAACCGCGAGAAGAAACGACTCCAGGTGAGTGTTAGCTCAACAGGCGTTGCACCCCCTAGCGGTGAATGATTTGGGTGACAGGGTTTAATGAAAGGCTTTGGTGTGGCCGGTACCGACCTTCATGAAGACGTTTGTTTTCAAGTTTTTTTTGGTGGGTGCTTTGATATATGTCCTGATTTACTCCTGCTTCAAGGACAGCTTCCTCTGCCAATCGTCACGCTGTCAAACAATTCGACTCTGCATTGCTCACACGCGTTTATATTAGCCCTGATGCGTATAATAACCGCAGATCACCTGACAGTAATCCATGTAGGCCAAGCCGGCTTTCGTGCTGAAGCCAACTGATTACACGCATGCAATCAGTAAACATGTGCTGATTATCACTGAAAATCCACAGGAGACCCAGCAGAAGACGACGGACGACTTCGGCACCCAGGAGGACAAGGTGGGTCACCTGACCAAGGTGAAGGCCAAGCTGGAGCAGACGCTGGACGAGCTGGAGGACTCGCTGGAGCGCGAGAAGAAGACGCGCGCCGAGATGGACAAGGCCAAGCGGAAGGTGGAGGGTGACCTCAAGCTGACCCAGGAGGCCGTGGCCGACCTGGAGAAGAACAAGCGCGAGCTTGAGCAGACCATGATGCGCAAGGACCGGGAGATCGCCCAGCTGTCCAGTAAGCGGGAGGCTCGCGCAAGCACTCGGCCGGATGCACCCGGTCTGTGTTCGTCGGGGGGGGGGGGGGGCATGTACGCTTGATCGCAGGGCACGTCGAATTGCCAGATGACTGATGATTTATGGCAGAGCCACCTTTGCAAATCAGGTAATGGTCGAAGAACTCGAAAAGTCGGCCATGCGAGGAAAAGAGTCCTACTTACGAGCTGACAGTAACTAGGACAAGACATTTCGTGGTTTTCCATGATTTACGAGTGACTGGAGATGCGGCTTTCAGATCCAGATCATAAAACCCACCATGGACACCACGATGCACCGTCCATTTGTGATGTCCGGTCTGGTTACGGCGGCGTCGGTTGCTGGCTACGGCGCCTTATCGTGCCGCCCCGTTCGCAGCGAAACTGGAGGAGGAGCAGGCCCTGGTAACCCGGCTGCAGCGCACCATCAAGGAGCTGCAGGGTCGCATCGAGGAGCTGGAGGAGGAGCTCGAGTCCGAGCGCCAGGGCCGCGCCAAGGCTGAGAAGCAGCGCGCCGACCTGGTCAGTGTGTGACGTCACCGGTGACGTCACCGGCTCTGGACAGCGGGCGGTGGGGGCCTGTCGTGGTGGGGTGTGTGGGACTTGGTCAGGGAGAGTACTGGTGAGCGGCAGCCTGGCGGGGCCAGCACGGCACGCTGGTGGTCGTTAGTGGTGTGTGGCTCAAGCACACAGCTGTCCACTTGTCAGCTGGCGGTAGATGTAAAGCGTCGAAGAGAAAGGTTTTAGTAGAGCCACCGGCTGGACTGATTGAAAGGCTTAGTCGGTTAACGATCCAGTGAGCTTTGCTATACCCAGCGCTGAAAGAACGCAGACCGTTTCAAGGGAACTAGGTGCGAGAATATTTTCCTCTCTAGAAACCTTCAAGTAGTCTTTCATGTAGCAGTCCTTCATGTGTCACGGCAGCACATTAGAAAACCCCGCCTTAACATAAGCCGGCGTTGGTCCGTGATTACTAACCCGAGATCAGAGATCGTCCAACCCATGCGGTATTGTGACCCGCCGCTGTACCACTGCTAGGCACGTGAACTGGAGGAGCTGACGGAGCGGCTGGAGGAAGCAGGTGGCGCCACCGCCGCCCAGATGGAGCTCAACAAGAAGCGCGAGAACGAAATCGCCAAGCTGCGGCGCGATATCGAGGAACAGGTGATGACGTCAGCTGACCCGCTGAGAGAGTGGGAGAAGCAGCTTTCTTTATCGTGGAGGAGCTCCCCGAAGTTGAGCTGAGAGGTTACCCAGCGTGCTCAGGATGAGAGTACCTTGATCGTTCTGTCAGAAACACACCCCGCTTTTTAACCAGTGCGACAGCCTAGTGACGCCTCAAGTCATTCACATTCCTTCCTGGGACTCCCCACGGTCACGTGTTCCTTTACTCGTCCTCAGAGCATGGGACCCTACGGTCACGTGTTCCTGTACTCGTCCTCAGAGCTTGGGACCCCACGGTCACGTGTTCCTGTACTCGTCCTCAGAGCTTGGGACCCCACGGTCACGTGTTCCTGTACTCGTCCTCAGAGCTTGGGACCCCACGGTCACGTGTTCCTGTACTCGTCCTCAGAGCTTGGGACCCCACGGTCACGTGTTCCTGTACTCGTCCTCAGAGCTTGGGACCCCACGGTCACGTGTTCCTGTACTCGTCCTCAGAGCTTGGGACTCCACGGTCACGTGTTCCTGTACTCGTCCTCAGAGCTTGGGACCCCACGGTCACGTGTTCCTGTACTCGTCCTCAGAGCTTGGGACCCCACGGTCACGGGCTCCTTTACCCGTCCTCAGAGCACGGGACCCCACGGTCACGTGTTCCTGTACTTGTCCTCAGAGCATGGGACCCCACGGTCACGTGTTCCTTTACTCGTCCTCAGAGCATGGCACCCCACGGTCACGTGTTCCTGTACTTGTCCTCAGAGCTTGGGACCCCACGGTCACGTGTTCCTGTACTCGTCCTCAGAGCTTGGGACCCCACGGTCACGTGTTCCTGTACTCGTCCTCAGAGCTTGGGACCCCACGGTCACGTGTTCCTGTACTCGTCCTCAGAGCTTGGGACCCCACGGTCACGTGTTCCTGTACTCGTCCTCAGAGCTTGGGACCCCACGGTCACGTGTTCCTGTACTCGTCCTCAGAGCTTGGGACCCCACGGTCACGTGTTCCTGTACTTGTCCTCAGAGCTTGGGACCCCACGGTCACGTGTTCCTGTACTCGTCCTCAGAGCTTGGGACCCCCACGGTCACGTGTTCCTGTACTCGTCCTCAGAGCTTGGGACCCCACGGTCACGTGTTCCTGTACTCGTCCTCAGAGCTTGGGACCCCACGGTCACGTGTTCCTGTACTTGTCCTCAGAGCTTGGGACCCCACGGTCACGTGTTCCTGTACTCGTCCTCAGAGCATGGGACCCCACGGTCACGTGTTCCTTTACTCGTCCTCAGAGCATGGCACCCCACGGTCACGTGTTCCTGTACTTGTCCTCAGAGCTTGGGACCCCACGGTCACGTGTTCCTGTACTCGTCCTCAGAGCTTGGGACCCCACGGTCACGTGTTCCTGTACTCGTCCTCAGAGCTTGGGACCCCACGGTCACGTGTTCCTTTACCCGTCCTCAGAGCACGGGACCCCACGGTCACGTGTTCCTGTACTTGTCCTCAGAGCATGGGACCCTACGGTCACGTGTTCCTTTACTCGTCCTCAGAGCATGGCACCCCACGGTCACGTGTTCCTGTACTTGTCCTCAGAGCTTGGGGCCCCACGGTCACGTGTTCTTGTACCCGTCCTCAGAGCATCCAGCAGGAGACGACCCTGGGTGGCCTGAGGAGGAAGCACAACGACGCCATCACGGAGATGGCCGAACAGATCGACCAGCTCAACAAGTCCAAGGCCAAGTAGGTTCCAGTCACCGGGTGTCAAGGATGCAGAGACTATGGGGTTTTCTAGTACGCGTCCTCACTGACGTGTTTATCGTCGCTGTCGTCTGGTTTGCGAGCGCGTGGGTAGGGAGAGCAGGTAGATGAGTGCGTGCGGGAGAGAATGGCACGCATGGGAAGATTAGTGAAAAAAGGAAGACAGGGATGATAACAGCGTAAAAATACCACTATGAAACAAGGAGTGTTGATGGGGATTCCAGCGAAAACTCTCCGTTGGTCTTCCTTCTTGCATCAGTAGCTGGCGCCATTCCCTCGCGCTCACTGAGACCCATGGTATAGCCACGCTTGTGCCGACACCTCAGGGCGGAAAAGGAGAAACTGGACAATTCGTCCAAGGCCCACGAACTGCGGGCTGCCATAGACCACGTCAACAGTGGGAAGGTATCACAGCTTGCATCGTCTCCACACGGTGTCCGTCCCGTAGCGCTGCTGAGGGTGCTTAGTGGTGTCTAATGGTGTGAACAGCGCGAACGCAACAGCACACGCCCTGAACACGACACAGAATATACAGGTGTCGAGCGACGGTTCTGGTTCAGAGAGCAGGGATGGTCTCGTCACAACCGATCGGCCATGGGAGTCCTGTCAAAAGAAACCCTGGCTGGCATCAAGTTTTCAAAGGAATTTGGATCGGGGACACGATCAAGGACATAATTGATCCAAATATAAATTGACCCACTCTGCTTCCAAATCCAAGTTCTCTTCGGATGTAGGCTACTTTAATCTTGCATTCAGATGAAGAACGACCAAAAATACAGCTGAATGGCTGTAATTACTGACGGGGTTAGAACGAAGCCACAACGGAGATAGAACGGGCTAGAGTGTGACTAGAACAGCTCTTAGTGCGGGGAAAATCTATCCTTAGGGAACGGGACTTTGATCGAGTGCAGATACATTTTGCCCGTCACTTACTAGGTCAAAAATGCATCTCTCGTGGCATCTCCAGCATGCGGAGGAGACATCTCGATCATGCGTCTCGCCACCGCCGAAGGCGAGCACCACTCACTCTCTCAGTCTGGACCGACGCTCGACGCTCGCGTCCGTCCGCCGTCCATGCCGCGCCGTGGCGTCCCCGTGCCGTCCGTGCCGTGCCCCGCCTGCATAGAGGTTTGCCTAGCTAGCGCCGCCTGTGGAGTCGCCCCGTAGTGGTGTAGCCTCGCCGCCGGACCCGCCGGAATCGAGCCCCGCTGGCAAGAGAGCCGCGCCGGCAGACGCCTGCCTCCGGCCGATTACAGGTCCGAGCGCGAGGCAGACTCCATGCGCAGCGAGGCGCAGGAGCTCAGGTCGGCGCTCGACCTCACCAACAACGAGAAGGTAGACGGCGACGGTGGTGCCGCCCCCGGCGAAGAGCGGAGACAGCGCTGCAGCGAGTGTCGACTAACCCGGCTGGCTGTTTTGCAGAGCCGGCGGATATTTTTGACCTCCTTGAGTTCGTGATTTTTGCGAGCGGTTTTTCGCAGCGGGTTTCCGTTTCCGTTTTTAGCATAGAGAAGCAGACGTCCCGGCTGGCGGACGAGGCTGAGGCGTACCGGCTCGCCCTGGAGCGGACCTGTCACGCGACGGTAACCTTCGCTTCCCTCTCTGCCGGCGTAGACAGCCTGTGCACGTCCCTTCCCTCTCTTCATCGCGCTCTCTTGTGCCGTTCGTGCGGCTCTCGCCGTTGAAGACCGAACAACACACGCATGGCTTTCTTCAGCTTTTTGGCGGGGGGTTGGCTAGTGATGTTCACGTCACTCCACTCTTTCCGCCTGATGTCGTCTCGTGGATGTGACCTCTGGACATTACAACTGAGGATAAGTACCAAAAATCCTTAATGATTCTTCATCGTAATGTAATTCAGTGCATTAATTTTGGCATGAACTAAATGTATGTGCACAAGCTGATCAGAATGAGGCAATGATTCCCTTATGAGATAAAATATTGGCTCAAACATCCACTGGTCAATACTAATTATGTTCCACTCATCATATGAGTAGTTCTTTGAAGGACTTTTCACTCGTCAATCGGCAGATTCAGCTGCTTGCGATCCCCTGCTTGCGATTATAACGCTGATAGATAGATAGATAGCAGCCTCTTCCCATTGGCTCAGCTCCCTAGGCCTCTAGCGAAAGCTCTGTGAGTCACGTGACGTCCGCGATCGTTAACCCAAGACGCGATGCGACAGGCCAGTGAGGAGAAGCAGACCAAGATGCTCCAGGATCAGCTGGGCAGCATCAACTCCAAGCTGGAGGAGGCTAACAGGACGCTCGGCGACTTCGACAGTGCCAAAAAGAAACTGACCGTCGAGAACACCGACTTGATGCAAGAGGTCAGCAGCCGTCGTTGGGGGGTTTCGCCTGTCGGTGTGGCTCTAAATGTCTAACTGTGTGTGTGGGAAGGGATGTGGGAGGTGGTGGAGGTGGTGGTGGTGGTGGGGGGCGGGGGAGCTGTGATGTGCACTCTTGCGTGAGGTTGCCTGCGGTAAACTCACGAAGTCACATCGGACTGCCTTGCAGGTGACTTGTATGACATTTGACTTCCCACTTGTAACATCTTATCCTTGCCGATGCCCTTTTAAGACCTCTGACCCCCACCGGTGTCGTGCACGATTCCGACCACCGGTGCTCATCTGTGGCTCCTGACTCCGCCGGCGTCTCGTGCTAACCTCTGACCTACGTCGGCACCTCGTGGTGACCACTGGCCTCCGCCGGTGCTTGTCTGTGACCGTGGACACCGCCGGCGCCTTGTGTTGACCTCTGGCAACGCCGCTGCAGCTGGAGACGGCCGAGTCGCAGCTGTCGCAGCTGCAGAAGCTACGCGCCACGCTGCAGACACAGCTGGACGATTGCAACCGGCTGTGCGACGAGGAGGGACGCGAGCGCGCCACCATCCTCAGCAAGTTCCGCAACCTCGAGCACGACATCGACACCATGCGCGAACAGGTCAGGGCTATGAAGCAGGCTGGAGTCATGCGACAAGGAGGCCTACAGGTGGACTGCGTGACAGGCTTCTGTGTGGTGCTGTAGCCAGCCACGAACAATCCGTCAAGTGATAGAAAGAAGTCAGTTGTAATGAGTTTTACATAATTGTTAACGCGGTTGAGCTCACTCGCTTGAATGGTCATCTTTCACATCATCCAGCTCATTGATCGATTTACTGTAATACGTTCTCATCCTCGTCTGTTTGCTTCGTCATCCGACTGGCTGTCTGCAATGTCACAATCGTCTTCACTGGCCAGTTATTGTGCGTGCGGTGCCCCGATTGGCTGCTCGCATCGACCTCACCTGCGGATTGGTTCACAGGTGGACGAGGAGGCGGAGAGAAAATCGGACCTGGGCCGCCAGGTGGCCAAGGCCCAGGCTGAGGCTAACCTGTGGCGTAACAAGTACGAGCAGGAGGGCGTCGCCAGGTGAGGGCTCGGTGGACCAGGTCTTTGAGGTGGAAACCTACCAACGTTGCAGAGAACGGTACCTCATCGACCTTGCCCTGCAGAAACACCCCCCGCCCCCCCCCCCCCCCCGCTCCACCGCCACGGTTGGGTGGACCGGAAGACAGGTGCTCTAACCAGCTGAGCTATCGGAACGGACAATTAAAAACTCATTTTGACAGGATGTGTATTACTTTCGTTTTGCGTCTTCTGGAATACTACCATGAACTAACCAGTTTAAAATGACGCTGCGGTACTGAATCTATCGACCTGAGTTGACTGCGTTGAAATCGGTTGATGCATGAGCGTAATCCGCTCCCTCCTGCTCGGAATAGGGGTACCGGTGAGGCCGAGCAGAACAGGGTTAAATGACGAGCAAATCGAGACAAACCTGCGAGGCCAAGATCCCCCAAAGAAGCGCAAATCTCCACCCGTGACCACTCGTCTCATCTCCAATATTACCTTCTATCTAAACTACAATGTAATCCCCAATATATTCCCTTATTTACTCTCCAAGTTGATATCCAATAAAACCCCTTATCTAATCTACAATCCAATATTCAATCCCTTATTTGGTCTCCACTTTGATACCCAACATAATCCTCTTTCTAATCTCCAATCTAATGCCAATTATATCACTAATATAGTCCCTCACACAATCCCCAATATAGCCCCAAGTGTGGATCTGCCTCTGACGCTGATCTGCCGTTGCAGGGCTGAGGAGTTGGAGGAGCAGCGCCGCAAGCTGGCCGTCCGCCTGCAGGAAGCCACCGAGCAGCTGGAGGTGCTCAACCAGAAGAACATCAGCCTGGAGAAGATCAAGGCGCGGCTGACAGGCGAGATCGACGAGATGCATGCCGAGGTAGAGCGTGCCCAGCAGCTGGCTAGCCAGATGGAGAAGAAGGCCAAGGGCTTCGACAAGATCATCGCCGAGTGGAAGATGAAGGTACGTGTGGGGAGAACGCTTACCCTAACCTCGCCCTATCTCAGACAGAGTTGTCTCGCATAAGTGAAGGCACTCATTGACCATTGAAGCCCCAGCGCGCATAAGCTTCAACAAGTGAAGCCTCGTCTTCGATACGGCGTTGGGTTTTGACCTGGTGCGTGTGGCTGCTCTCGTTGTTGGCGCTGTATTGTTTACATTGTTTCTGGGTATTGCATTGTTTCGTGGACAAATCGGATCTGCCTTCAGAGGATCGTCACAGACATCAGTTGGGGATGGATTTGTAGAATAATTAACCATTAGACCATTATGCAGACAGCAGGGGTGGAGTTTCTTGTTCAATAAGGAAAGCTCCAGAATCTCGAACTTTGAGAAGAAAGCAGGCCGAAACTGAGAAGAATGCGTTTTTACGGATATTGTGGCAGCTTGATTAATATTTTCCTGATCAGCCCTTCCATTCATCTTGCGGAAAGATAACCTCGATAGTCAATAAAAGTTAGGTGTGTTATTTTGTAGAACTATTATATTATCATTATCGACCTGCCGTCCAACGCAGATGCTATAGCATCGCCACCACCTGCCGCCACGCACAACTGAGCTTCGATTGCCCGCCGCCAGGTGGATGACGTGGCTTCCGAGCTGGACACGTCTCAGCGCGACTGCCGCAACTACAGCACCGAGCTGTTCCGCGTCCGGGGCGCATTCGACGAGAGCAACGAGCAGCTCGAGTCTGTGCGCCGCGAGAACAAGAACCTGGCCGATGAGGTCAAGGTGAGAAGGAGGGTCGTGTGACTAGATGCCCGAGAGTGTCAGGTTTCCTAGGACTGGCTGAGACTGACTGGTCGGTAACGGCACTGGCCCGTAGTCGTAGCTCAGCTATTGGTTGGGTGAAGCCAGGGAGCAAAAGTCTTAGGCTTTGGTCTGTCTGTCTGTCTGTCTGTTTAGGAGTGGGTTATCAGCGTGTCCACTAGGTCCTTGCCTGTCTGTTCAGACGTTCCCAATCGGCTCTGTGCAGGAAAGCTCTGCAAAAAGGAGAAGGGACGGGCTCAACTATAAGTCTTTTTGAAGCCATTCTTGCCATACATGGAAAGTGCGGAAATTCCCATCCCTGCGGGCTTACAGTTGAAGTACGAAATCATTGCAAACCTGGGACTTTCCTAAGCGCACGAAGTTACATATTGGCATCACAAATGCCTCACGCACATGCCCCTTATACCTGCTCCATACCTGATCACCACTGACGCGGCCGGTCGGCGGCAGGACCTGATGGACCAGATCATGGACGGCGGCCGGAGTCTGGCCGAGGTGGAGAAACTGCGCCAGCGGGTGGAGCAGGAGAAGGAGGAGCTGCAGTCGGCGCTGGAGGAGGCCGAGAGCGCGCTGGAGCAGGAGGAGAACAAGGTGCTGCGCGGCCAGCTGGAGCTGAACCAGGCGCGCCAGGAGATCGAGCGGCGCATCCAGGAGAAGGAGGAGGAGTTCGAGGCCACAAGGTCAGCGTGGCGAGCTATCCTTCGTGTGATCCAGGCTATGGGCAGCCCACGGCACAGATGCTCTGTAGCCGACGATGTTCGCTAAATTCTGCGACTCGTTATGTATGGATATAGTTTTTGCGGTAGCATGGGCCATGCAAGTAATCCTATGTTGAAGGGGATGTGGCTATGACTATTCGTTGTTACTTTTTCTTGTTAACTTTCATAGACCATTGCCAAATTATCACAAACTTGTGGCCTTAGTCCCTCAATCCATTTACTTTGCGTACCCATGTTTGATGGGAAGCCAGCCAGTTTCTTTAAGGTGCCACATTGAGACCTCTTTGTAACTCCTTTGTAGAATGCTTCCTCGTGATCGCTCAAGCACCGAAAGGCTGACGCCATGTCAAAAAAGAACACTTTAAACAGATCTACTACACATATCCAGTGGAACACTATGTTCTGAGCCGCGGCACCAGACAGACGCGAGTGCTTCTCGGTGGAGCACTCATTTACGGAGCGCTCACCCCTCCCCCCCCACCCGGCAGGAAGAACCATCAGCGTCAGATGGAGTCGATGCAGGCTTCGCTTGAGGCCGAGGCCAAGGGCCGTGCCGAGGCGATGCGGATGAAGAAGAAGCTGGAGACGGACATCAACGAGCTGGAGGTGTCTGTGGAGCGGGCCAACATCGAGACCATGGAGGGTCAGAAGACCATCAAGCGGGTGCAGGCGGAGCTGAGGGACGTGCAGGTGCAGCTGGAGGAGGAGGAGCGCTCGCGTGCCCAGGTGCGCGAGGCGCTGAGCCTGTCCGAGCGACGCGCCAACGCCCTGCACGGCGAGCTGGAGGAGAGCAGGACCCTTCTGGAGCAGGCCGACCGCGGCCGCCGTCAGGTCAGTCGGTCGTCGAGGTCATGAAGGAGGGCGGAGGTCAGGGACGGACCATAGGGGGCCAATCCCGGCCACCGACAGGTCAGTCGATCACCGGGGTCATGGAGGGGGACAGAGGTCAAGGACGGATCACAGCAGGCCGACCGTGGCCGCCAACGGGTTCCGCCGGGGTCACAGGGTGAGCAGGGGTCGGGGATGGGTCAGGAGGGCAGGGAGCCGTCTGGGGCAGGCTGACAGCGTCCGCGGCCGGTCGATAAGCCACAAGCTCGCCGGGAGGAAATCGATAGGCACCGTTCAAGGTCAGGCAAGGGCATAGAGCAACAAGTCATGCGATCAGCGTCAGGTTAGCAGTGTGTCATCGCAGGACCCATGTTCAGAGGAGCACACATAGTTCCAGGTGATCGCATCTGTAAATTCCCTGCTAGTACTCCATGCTGCTAGACAATTGCACTGAACCCCGAAACAAAGTCTGCCTTCCGTTTGTCTCAGGTCCCCATCGCTTTCGGTCATCGCGAACAGTGTTCGGCGGTCGGCGCTGCTCCTGTGACCTGACTGTGACCTCGTAACCCCGGGCAGGCGGAGGCCGAGCTGGGCGACGTGCAACAGCAGCTGTCGGAGAGTGAGGCCAACTACAACAGCGCCTCCGCCGCCCGCCACAAGCTCGAGGAGGAGGTCAAGACCCTGCACGTCGACCTGGACGAGATGCTCAACGAGGCCCGCTCCTCCGAGGAGAAGGCCAAGCGCGCCATGATCGACGCCGCCAGGTGGGCCACGTCCGCAGGGCAGGGCGGGGCCCGTGAGGAGGGTGGGTGGACTTTGTGGCGGTCTTGGGTGGAGTGGTTGAACCCTTAAACGGGATGCGAAGGGGAACAAGCAGGAGCTTGTGCGGTCGGAGCGAACTGCCGCTGGATAGGGCTGTGTCGGTGCTTGCGGCAGTTTGCCGGTGCCGGTGTTGGTGTGGTTTCTAACTCTCCCGACTGTCGCGGAAGCGCTCTGCATTTCTTCCTGATATTGTGTGAAGCATTTTAATCTTGGCGTTTCGCCTGTCGTGACGCTTTCTTGTCATGACGGCGGCAAAAACTGTGTGGCAGCAGGGTTCTGATCTATAACAAGCAAGCACTTGACTTTCACAGGATTATTGCGAGCTTCGAGCTCCCTGCTACATCGACACCCCCAGGCTGCAGCACGACGTCCCCGGCATCGTCCAGCCCCCCCCCCCCTCACAGTGACGTCATACCTCTCCCTGGCGTCCGGCAGACTGGCTGACGAGCTGCGCGCCGAGCAGGAGAACGCCCAGTCGCACGAGCAGAGCCGCAAGTCGATGGAGTCCGCCGTCAAGGACCTGCAGATCCGCCTGGACGAGGCCGAGGCCAACGCCGTCAAGGTCAGACGAGGGCGGGTCGGGGCGGGAGGAACGGGTCTGCCGGGGCCGGCGGGGGAGGAATGGATCCGCGCGGAGATGGAGCGAGAGGAACGGAACTGCCGGGGCCGGAATGGGAGGAATGTATCCACGGAGGCTGCAGCGGATGGAACGGGCTCTTATGGGCTGTCCACCGCAGCGTGCACGGCAGTTTTAACAGCCAGGCTCTTCACAGGCACCCCTGTGGTCGAATGTAATAACTTGTGCTTTGCAAGAGTGTTTGATAGTGTATTGGTCAGCAGCCATAGCGGCGGAAGTGATCTGCTTGGTGAGGAACCGAGGGCTGTATATCTATGGAACATGATAGGGCTTTGGCTTCTTTGCTGACGGTCAACTGTAAGTCGCAATGTATTACTTTCATCACACTCGTCTTTTCGGCAGCCTGCTTTGTGAAATTTGTTCTTTCTAAAAGCGCTGTAGCCTGCCGATTCTACTTTGGCGCCTCTTTATCATGGTCTTTACCTGAAGGTGACGCGTTCCTCTCAACATGGCACCGCAGCTGTGGTGCGCCTCCGCCACGTCTTTGCAAAACCGTCATTTTCCCGCGACCGGGATTTGTACTGGCGTAACATCCCGCTCGACATTGCCATGACTCCCGCCCCTCTGTCGTGCCACCCAACCCTCTGCCGTGACACCCACACCCCTGCCATGACTCCCGCCCCTCTGCCGTGACACTCAACCCTCTGCCGTGGCACCCACCCCTCTGCCATGACACTCACCCCTCTGCCGTGAAACGCAACCCTCTGCCATGACACCCATCCTGCCACGCGCAGAACGGCCGCCGCATCATCTCCAAGCTGGAGGAGCGTCTGCGTTCGCTCGAGTCCGAGCTGGATCATGAGCAGCGCCGTCACAGTGACGTCACGAAGAACCTACGGAAGGCTGACCGTCGCATCAAGGAGCTCATCTTCCAGGTCAGGCCCCCTCCCTCTCCATCCGTCTCCTGGGGCGCACGGGAGCAGGCCAGGGCAGGCTGAGGGGTGGGAGGTCTGTTCCAGGTCAGGCGGCGTGCTCCTCAAACGCAAGTATATTCGAGAACATAGGGCCACTTGCTTTGGGTTCAAGGTACTAGCATTTCGGTTGATGAATACTCGGCTTAGATTGATCACTGTTGGATGATCAACGCTTAGTGTTCTTTCGCTTTGAAAGCTATCTTTCTCAGAACAGATCGCTGGCTCAGTTGTTTTAATCACCTGCATCCCGAGGGCTCTGCTCGTGCCGGTATCGCACGCGCTGCTCACATGTGGCGCCTGCACGCGAGACAGGCGGACGAGGACAAGAAGAACCACCAGCGCATGCAGGACCTGGTCGACTCGCTCCAGCAGAAGATCAAGACGTACAAGCGGCAGATCGACGAGGCGGAGGAGATCGCTGCCCTGAACCTCGCCAAGTACCGCAAGTGCCAGCAGGTGGGCAGTGGGAGCGGGGTCAGCTGACCTGACCTGGGAGGGTGACCTGACCTGGGCGGGTGACCTGATCTGGGCGGGCCGCAGCGCGTGTGGAGCGGCGCTCCGAGTGCGTGCCGGATCCAGATCGGGTGTTTTGGGTAGGCTTTGGAGACGGGGACGTAGTAAATGTGTGGTGTTGATGCGTGCGAAGCGTGGCCGAGAATGCGTAAACTCGGCTGCTATGCCACAGCTTGCCGAGTTTCAGTTTTACGGGAGACTTAAGACGAGGTTTAGTATCACGGATGACGTAATTATTCGGGCCATCGACCTTTTCTGGGGTGTTAGTATGAACACGTCTACACGTGTGTTAGTACGCGTCTTGTGTCGACGTACTAAGGCGCCAGACGAGGGAGATAGTGTGAACAGCTATTCCATCTATGTTGCTGGTCTTGATGATGCCCGTGACAACCAAGGGTGGGGAATACTGGCAAACGCCTGCACGGCTAAGCTGCCCAGACAAGCGTCTCACGATGGAGATTTATAAGCTTATTTTGAGGAAGTTGGTGTGACTGTCACCCAGCTTGTCGCACTTCATTCACATTTCGTCACCGCAGTACATTATATTCGCTTCAGCTCTCAGAGCAGGGTGTTTGTCTTGGCAGATCATGTCGTAACGTTGTTGAGGATTTATTTTTATGCAAAACGGCTTCATCAATTTATAGCAAACATTGTTGAGGAATTATTGTATGCAAACAAGTTTCTCGGATTCATAGTGAACACAAGTATTCCCAGGATTTTATGCCTGAAGTTAGGGACGAACCGGCGGTGGAAGTTGGGCAGATTGATACTCGGAAGTGGTCAAACTACTCATTTTCGTATGAAGCGGCTGAACTGGTGAATTCGCCACAGCCACTAGGAGAGGGACGGAGGGAGGGTAGGGGGCGCAAGGTCCCAGGAGGTCATGCCCCCCCCTCCCCCTCCAACCACTTGTGATGCCCATGACAGTAAACGCACGGTCCATCGGTTTCTATGCGCCAACCGGTCCCTGAAGGCGGTGGCACATTAGAATACCGGCAGTACACAACAAACCGACGTCCTCCATCTGCTGCGCTGCCAAGGGCAGTGCACGCCTGCCGAAGTGTCATGCCCTGCCACCACCCCGACACCTAACTGTGTGACCTGTGCCCTTCCAGGAGGTGGAGGCCTCGGAGGAGCGTTGCGACGCCGCCGAGTCGGCCGTGGCCAAGTTCCGCGCTCGCGGCCGTGGCGCCTCCACCGCGCGTGGTGTCACCCCTGCTCGCTAGATGGCTCTGCCGTGCCGAGGTGGCGCCCGCCCGCCGACCGCCGGCCCCTCTCTGACCCGAGCTGTCTGTCCGCTTGTAGTCTGCTAGTCGCCGGAGCATCGTGAGTTGCCCCCTCGCAATGGTGAATAAACCGCAAAACGAAAACGAACGACGCCGTTTGGAGGAAGTGGATGTGACGAGGCTGTGTTGGATCTGCGCATCCGCCGCCATTTCTTGGACACAAATTAGCGACGGAACAGCGTCCTAGAAGACTGACGGCGTTTTTGCATCATTGACGTCCGGTGAATGTGTGATGACAGGTTCTCCACAGAGTCGCATCGCTCACAGAGGTGGTTAATACCCCGTTCACCTCGTGCGGAGATAAGTAGGAAAGATAATCCGGTGGCGCTATTTTTGTCACTTGGGCTCTCCTTCAGCACAAATATTATTCAGCCATGGCAATTACCAAAGTTGCTGCTCCACGGCCTTTGAACAGCGCTGATATTTCACCTAGTTTACTCAAGCTTTGAAGTTCACGTGGTTGAAGACGTGCCAGGATAAGGTGATCGTCAATGTTAGTTCAGTGATCGGTGAATGCTCTTGATCACCTGCAGCAGAAGAAGCTTCCACCATCCCTAGATATGTTCCGCATTCGTCTGCGACTTCCGACGACAACTTCTGAAGAGCACTGTGAGAAATGAATAGCTAAAATACAGTGCAGCTGTGTGCGTTGCCTTAGCAACATCGATCGACATCATCATTTAAGTACACCATCGAATGCAAATGCACACACCTACCGTGCTTGGCCTACCTGACGACATTTGCTGATTGTTTCAAGCAGGAGGCAGATTTTTCAGAGTTTTTCCGCTTCTTGTGCATCATGCTAGATACGCTGCCAGCGTGGTTTGTTGCCAGTTCAACGGATCCTGTCAAAGAAAGTTTCCTCAAGCTGATTGTACCAAATAATCCTATAATCCTGAAAGGAATTAATCGTCTGAGGAGCTCGCAAGCTAGACGCCTTCGATGCCAACGACCCACCTTGGCGACCCCACAGTTCAAGGGCTTGACTTGAAGTGACCTTGAGTTCGCATTCCTTTTAGCCATCATGAACACACTCTATTCCTATTGGTTCATGAAATCACAGGGGATTTGGAATGATGTGAGGAATGATTTCGCGTAGTTTTCACGGCCTGGCAACATATGGCTTTGACCTCGAGGTATATTTACAAAAGGCACAGGTGTTAATGGCGTACGTGATGTAATACTTCACACATTGAAAGCCACTGGGAAGTGGCCTGTGGTGCACAGCAAGCTGAGAATACGTCGTGAAGCAAAGGTACACACCTTTTCTATCTTTGAAAACATGATTATGTATCGTTAACTCGGCATCGTCGAAAGCTGAAACGCGCGGGTCACGTGCAAAACGTATCACAACTAAGTTGGCCAAAATGTTCCCACAAAACGCTAGTTGCCCGCAGACATCTCCCCCCCCCCCCCCCCAAAAGAGCAGGGCGGGGCAGTATCACCCCTTGTGTCGGCGAGCGCTTTGTTTCGACGAATATCCCCCGAAGAGCCAATATCGTGTAATGAAAGCTGTTAGCTGCGGCAGTCCTGCGGCAAACCCTGGCGTCTGGGATAGCATCGCGACGCCAGTAGCGGCTGAAAACGACGCAGTCCAGGAAGAGAATATCTTACGATAGCAGCTTTCCTATTCGCTCCGTCAAACTTGACAGCTGTACATTCTTGAAATGACGTAATACTTTGTTTAAGATGACCCATAACAGTAAACAACGTCAGCAGTAGTGGCTGCATGTGCACAATCCCTGCCCGAATTTGCATGAACAATAACCATTACAGTCTCCAACGTCATGTCTATTATCAAATGGGAATTCAGGACTGGGCATTCAAGCAATAAACTCATGTGGGAGAAAGCGTTTGACTGAGTGACGTGAAGTGCATGTTGTGGTTATGTTTGACTCTGAATGAAGTCGTTGACTCCGAAATAAAGGAGCATTCGTAAGTTAAGTTGGAAGGGATCCCTTTCAAATGAACTTGTGGGGATCGGGGTTCGAGTTGAGCCAGCTGTTTTGTCTGGAATGATTAACGTATCGGAACTTGTCTGAACGTAAATAACACAGCTGGGCACACGTCTGATGCTGGCCATGGTAACGTCCGCACGTTGACGAACTCTGTTGGCTGATCTGGGGGTATAAGCCCGCGTAGCCAGCTCTGCCTCCGGCCTCCAAAATGTGCGATATTGATGTTTGATGACGACACTGTTGGGGCAACAGCTCGCGAATTTATGTTGCAGCATCAAACATCCTGCAGCATCACGGGTCGCTCCAGCAGGAAGCATGCTCGATATCTGACGCTTACTCTGCCAGTCGTGTCGCTACCGCCTCCAAAATGTATCAATTTTCCGGAGAGACAGCGGGGCGGATTTCGTAACTGCCAATAGCGCCGGCCGATGCGTCCCAATCGTGTGCATGCATGTAATGTGGTATTAGATGCAATGATATTGATGTTGCCTAATCAAGCCCAACCAACTCAAAATCGGAACCGTTGTTGCAAGTGCCCAGTGGATAAAATGCAAACGTTGCGTATAACGTGGATAAAATGCTACGACAATGTGTAGTTCATGATGCTAAAGGATTTTCAGCTTTTATAACTAGCAATGCTTGCATCATTCAAGCAAGTATCTTGCAAGGATAAAGATGCATCTAGGAAAGACAAATAAGAGGAAACCGGACAGCACAGGAATGCAAGGGAGACAACATCTGAACAGACACCCCGAGAAGTAGAGACAAGCTTTGGACAACTTCAGTCAGTTGTCCAACAACTTGTCAGTTTTTGTGAAAATGGCTAACGATAATGGCGTCTAAAAGGCAAAGGCACACGTGCAACTAATAAAAGAAAAACGCCCCCAACGAATTAGAACCCAACGTATTCAGACCTACCCTAGTGTGAGCCTAACTTGCCAAACATAATGTCCGGAACCTTGTGTCCGCGGCCAGGCCAGTGACCGTTCCGCGGAGCCCCAGCCTAAATTGTATGGCAGATTACTTCCAAGACATCATTTTATGCAGCAGTTATCTTATAAACTTGTTAGCTGAAACGACTAGTCTGGCTTATAAGCCGCTTCATAGTGCAACTCACCACGTAACTATAATGAGATTATATAATGTAACATAACAACATACAACATAACTATACATGACATAGCAACATAACTATAATGCGATTATATAATGCAACATAACAACAACATACAAAATAACTATACATGACATAACAACATAACTATAATGTGATTTACTTAACGTCTGCGCCGAACATGCAATGGCACGATCAACGCGTGAAAAGCCAGCGATACGGTGGTGAAGTTACCGCCAGCGCCCGGGGAGTGAGCACCTAACCGAGTCCGGGCCTCCCACGTGGACATCGGAGACTCTCCTGATTTCCAGCCCGAGCTATGGCGCTCCTTACTCCGTCACATGCCGCACCTCCCGACATCACTCCATCAGACAAAACCTCCTCCTCATGAGACTACTCCATTAGACAGCTCATCCTTTCGGCGCCACTTCTTGCGAGATAAGACGGCGACACCTCCGCCACCGTTCTATTAGCCCGTCCTCCAGCCCGTCACCGCCACGACCGGGCCGCGCGCCAGCGCTGTCGGGCGGTGCGCCAGCGCTGGCGCCGGGCGCTGGCGCCGCGCCAGCGCCGAGGCTGCGGCGGCTCACGGCAAGCCCTGGGCCGGGACACCGGCGCGACGGTATTAATAGTTGGCAGCGGGGCTTGCTGGGCGGCCGTGCCCCACACCGACCGGGCTCAGTGGAGAGGAGCTGGCCGGCAGGTACGCACCGCTCCGCTCACAGCCGGGGAGAGCGTGGTGTCCGCCGGCGCGCTGGCATGGTGGGGGCGCGTCACGGCGCCGCGAGAGGTCGCTCGGGGGTCGGCGCGAGTGGCGATGGTGGGCTGTGGGGCTCGTGGCTTGGGACACGGACGAGGCAGGGGCTGAGTTAACGGCTTGAAGCTCGGTGTAGACGGGACTCGATAGGTCAGTTGGGCGGGAGCGCAGCGGTGAACGCGCGAGGTCGGACTGAAGCGCTGCTGCCACCATGAGTGGTCGGGAGAAGAAACTGCCCCGAGAGGCGCGGCAGAGGACAGGGAGCATTCACGAGATCAGGCACCTGACTCTTGAAGAGGTGAGTCCAAATAGCAGCTGCTCAAATGCGAGGTATTTGGCTGTGGCTTGCTGTAATTATGGCGCTGGCACACAACCTGGGATAGCGTGAGTTCAGTTCAATTCACAGTTACACAGTTTCCGCCGTGTACTTGGGTTGCGCGTAAACACAGCGAGGCTTAATGATGTATGGCATGACTTAGATAATTCATTTACTTTTGACATAGACTTAAAGTTACATGATATAGATATAAGCGAAATTGCAAAGTCATTGCAACGGAGCCATATCGACAACAAATACCAACATAGGTGCACTAACGGAACCAGCAAAGGTCAAAGTTCAGATCAAGTCAACGTAAATAGAGCCAACCTTTAAGTGGAGGCATGGTCGGTGATCCGCCCCGAGGGTCAGAGATACACTTCTGTTTTCTGCACTAGCTTCTGGACTGTTCGTGCTGAATTTACTCCAAAAATTTCTGTGGCTGTCAAGTAATTAATCTGGAACATCCTGGCAACAACTAATGATGGAAGGTCAGGTCACAAAGCTGTTTCATGACGTCATGGCCACTCTTTGTGCTTCTTGATGCAGAAATGTGAAGGCCTTCCTTGTTTTAGGTTATTTTGACGACTTCCAGCAGCCAGATTAACTTGATACCAGCTAAGGTGAACTTAAGATCCAGCGTCGCATTAAATCGTGGACAAAGGTCATACAAGGTCAGTTTGTGCAGGCCCAACCCATGTTCTGTGTCTCCTATTTACGATCAATCATTCAGGAAACATACACAAGCACACTTCACAAACAAACCGCCGCTAAAAATGACATCGCAAGTCGAATAACAAAAAAGATTACTCAAACTAAATAGTAACAAAATATTCAAAACATGACCTGATCTGAGTATGAGCCATGATAGCAGTTTGAAATTTTCCAAAGACGGAGGAAGATGACCCTCCGTTCTAGTTCTAGTGCTAGTTCTAAAATTAGGTCCCATGTGTATTAGTATGGATATTCTAGAGTCCCAGACTTATTGGACGTTTTTGAGGACTTCAAAATTACGAGAGAAGGTATGATACCATTATGCATAGATATCATCTATACTTAATATGTTGTCGAATGCCATGACGTGACGGATGATAGTTTGGCGTTTGTGATGTGAAATTCTTCATCACACGCAATATACCGATAACCGAATAA